CAGTATGATTTGTCTTGCTTTACAGTCCATTGTGAATTAGACATCTCTTAAAATTACATCTCAGTTTTTCAGATTCCATCATTGCCAGTTAATTAAAGATACGGCTTTTATTGTGTGTTTTTTCTTTTTTTTTTTTTTTACCTTATAAAGTAATTACAGTTATTACAGTTCCACCTTAAAATCATTCAGTACAACTTTCAGTTTGAAGTTCTGTGTCCTTTCATAATGGATTTTGTCACTGGAGTTATTTATATCGGTGATTGATTCAGGATATGTTGATGAACCATTTTGAAAACAATGACTGGGAACAATGTTGAAAAACAGTATTGTTATGAGGCTGTGAAACAGAAAAAAAAAAGCCATTTTATGTAACAGCCAAATGTGCTTACACGTAGTTCTTCCTATTCTCAGCTGACTGTTACCAGTGGGTATAACCAGAAGGCAGTGTTCCTATGTTAGTGTGATTTTTTCAGTCATGGAATGAAATTTTACTCTGACATGACTAAATTTCTTTGTAACAGCTAAGAATAACATTTAATTATACATCAAAAATAAATGCAAACAGCTTAATTCATTTGTAGGAAAATAACTGCTATTTTGGAGAGCCTAATTACCATGAAATACTGGATCACTCTTGCTGTGTAAGTACCAGGAATATAATTGACACAGTGCAGCAAACAAACAGGATGTTTATTTTGAACCTTATCCTCTCTGTTAATCTTTTTTTTTTCCTTGCCATTCATTTATAAAGTTTTGAAACTGTAATTTGCTGTTGTATTTGGCATTGGGAGTATCACATGCTATTTCTAAATATGCACTGATATTAACTTGAAATATTTCTTCATTAAAATAAGAAGAGCCAATGCTCATTCAACTTTTCTGTCCTGTCTACTTGTTCAATTTTTTCTGCACTTTCATGTTTGTAGCTTGGTTAATAGGAACTGCTTACACAAAGGCTACGAGTGTGGTTTTGAGTTCTTGATGGAAAAACTTGTGTGAGAAGCAGTCATTTGAAAGAAAACAACTTTGTGATTTTTTTTCCATTGCAGCTAGAAATGCATTAAAATTGATTTGTGCTTGTTCCAATGCAACACACCACCAGGTGGGTCAAACTGCAATAGCTTTTCACTCATGAACACCTGCACCAACTTCACAGGTTTAGTAATGTTCATTAGTGTGCAGGACCACAGTCCTGTCCAGGAATTGGCCTTCAGGCCTTGGCCTGACACATTGGCAGACAGTGTGGACAGACCCAAGGGGAGGGAAGAGGTATTGCAAATACCTGAAGTATATCTTGGTAGCAAATGCCACCAGAGTTTTAGTGATGTGTTAAATCTCAGATGGACCCATATTTCAAAAACCTCTTTTGCCAGCTCTGTCAGTGCCTTTCATAACAGCAGTTTCCCTCTACACCACAAGTACTGCTCTGTTCATATACATGCACGGTATGTAAAACTTGCAAGACCACCACTATGTGCTAATTCTACAATGATATGCTTCTGTTTACTTTTGGGGAAAGGCTGGTAAAGAAACATTAACTTAAATAACAGAGAACACAAAAAGTGAAGTGACAGAAAACATTGAGTGATAATAGAGTGAAGAAATGACTGAGGAGGGACATGTAAGGGGCTCCAGCCTGCTGCAGTCCTTTGCTAGCTCCTCTGAAGCATTTTTTACTGTAATACTTGTTTTTTCTCCTTTCAGTCAAATGTAACATAACTGTAAAACTTCTTTTAGTACTTAAAAATTGGCCCCTGATTATTTTAGCATGCATAGAATATATATACTCACTTCAAGTGAGAGAGAGATAACGAGTTTGGGGTTGGATAATGAAGGGAACCAGGACCAGGCTTGGGATTTTTGTTTTAGTGTTAAAAATTTTTAAAAAAGATATTTCTCTCACCACCTCCAAATAAAAAAACACTTTTAATGACAGACAGAAAGGCAATAGAAAACCAGCTAATAGGTTCAAGATCTTGGCACCTGCTTTATAAAGGCTTTTCCTTTCTAAAATTGGAAACCACAGTTTGGTCCTAACCTGCAGTTCTAGGTCACTTTTTAGCAGGGCTTGAAGCAAACACAGTGGGGTTACTCTTGTCCTCATTTTCTTGTTCGTGCCTGTCTCATCAATTTGGAGCTCTGTGGTCCCAGTGAAGTGAGTTGCATGATATGCTGAGCATAAGACAAAAGAAGAAATTGTTGTTTTAAGTTTGTATAATGGCAAAACTCACACAAGTAAAACAAAACACAGAACAAATCCAGGGAAGGAAAAGCAACAATAATCTAATTTTAAAAAAAAATAAAAAATTAGAAACATCAGCTCCAGTCAGGCATGACTACATCTGATTGATTCTAGGGAAGATTTGTTTTCTGTGTGGGGAGCAGTTTCCCAGTCAGCCTACTGAGCGTACCTCCTACCTGTTCAGTTTGAGTCCCAGATCTGCAGCCCTACACCAGGCTGACTGGTCTGTTGTTTTCCTAATGAGGAGTCCCCTCAGGACTTCTAAAACTGATGTGAATCTTGGGTTTCCTCCATTCTCCTCCTGGACTTGAAGAATTTCCCTGTTTGTTTTCACTCTGATAAACTGCTGACAGACAAGCCACTGGTACCCACCTCTTTCAGGGCACATCCTCCTTAGGAGGACTGGCATTTGGTGGGCAGAAGCCAGTGGAAACACTGGAGTCTGTTGCTGGTGGGCTGGAAGGAGGTGTTGCTGTTGAGAAAACAGTTGTTGAGTTCTGAGCAACCTGGTCTAGTAGAAGGTGTCCCTGGCCATGGCAGAGGGGTTGGAACTAGATGGTCTTTAAGGTCCCTCCCAACCAAAACCATTCTGGGATTTTGTAACATCTGTGTTTGACATCCAGGATGGATCTCACTCCTGTCTCTGCCAGAGTGTGCTTTTCACTGTTAGGCAGTTTGCATAGCTGTAAGTAAATGCAAAGACTAGACGTACCCCTGAAAAATAGTGACTTGTTCCTGGGTCGTATTTGTGATGTGAAAGTTCAGTTAGTTATGCCTGTACAAACTATTTCACAGCCATTCTGCCTGTGAAGGACATTCTGATGCCTCTGTTTGTGTTCTCTGGGTGACTTATTGGAACCAGAGCCTTTTCAACCTGTTTGCCCGACTGGCCCAGAGAACCTACAGAGGATGCTGATGTTCAGGGGCAGAAGTTGCTGCCAGTTCTCTTGGCCATGCAGTGGCCGACAGAGCTGCTGGTCTGAGCTGCCAGGCTCCCCACAAAGCCTCTGCAGAAAACAGGCCCCTCAAGTCCCAGTCCCACCACTACAGACTAAGACAGGCATCACCATCACTGGGCTGCCAGTACCAAGGGGTTTGGAGAATGGTAGATCCTAAAACACTCTTGGTTTGTTTGCAAAGTATACAGGATATGGTGTTCTCTCCATAAGATGGGCTGGGGCTCATTGGTTCTTTGAAACATGGATGAGGAACAGGTTGGAGGGTTATGCCTACTTTGGGCATCAAAGCACAGTCACTGGAATGGGAAGTAGGACATATGGTCTCAAACAACTCCTGGCCTGAGAAAGACCAGAGCTGTTTTACTTTCCCCAGCACTCCATATCCTCAGGGCATCCCCAGTGCTGCTTTTCACCTCACAAGGTTGGAAACGATTTTAAGATTTGTAGGGCCAGCATGACTGTAACTGGTGCCAAAGACACTGGCTGGGTGTATGAATTTCTGCATTCAGCTTCAGCCCTGGGACATTTCTGAACTGCCCTATGAACAAGGTGGAACCAGAGATGGCCCACAGCTCACACCAGTGTGCAGGCAGCTGTAGCCTCCAGGCTGTGCTTATAGAAAGAGGAAAATGGGAAGGGTTCCACCCTAAAATGCCATATATTTGAAGTGTCTTTCTATGTTAGGAGTGAGCCTGACACTTCATGGGCACTAGCAGACCTTGTCACCACTATGGCTGTTGTGGTCCCACACTCCACACCAAGGCCCTCCTTCCCTGCCTCCTTCAGAGACACGAAGGCTGAAATTGCCAAAGCAGTTTTCAATTTTTGGATATAGCTGGCCCCTGGCCTTACTCAGCTGTGCAAAACTTTCATCCATTTGGGACCACAGAGGAAACAGCTACAGAGAATTTAATTTGCAGTTGGCCAAGATGGGAGAGTTGACACTGTAATGATCCCAAAAGTATCAAATGCTGTTCAACATTGTTAGGCACAAATAGAAGAATATGCAGAGTACTCAAGGCTGAAACCTGAACTGGAGGTATTAAGTTAAATTACTTTTCATGCTGTATGCATAACAGTCCCTCGTTAAGGTTGTCACTTATGGTTTAACAGGGATTTGCATTTCCTATAGTATCCTATTGCACTTTTAGCATAAACACTGTAGGTTCAGAAAATGACATTGCCTTTATGCTACTTTGCACCCAAGTTTTTTAAAGTCTTGTGTGATAAAGAGACTATAAAGATTTGCCTCTAGTCTGTAGAGTCTGTGAACATTATTTGGCTTCTGTAAATGAAGAAGTCATCACTTCTTGTTGTGCAAGGTATAAAAAAAGTTGGTTTGACATCAAGGTGCTTTAATAAATTCCTGTTGATTGCAAAGGATTGCATTAGTATGGTCACATACTGACAAGTGTTGAAAAGACTTTTAAAAAACACACACTGTTTTTACAGCCAGGGAAGTTAAATTATAATGCAGAAATACTTCTTTGTGGAACCACGCACTTGTAGCTAGGACTTGGTTGTAGTCATAGGTGAATAACCTGATTCACACAACTGTTTAAAGACAGAGAAGTAGAAGCTGCTGGAGAAATAGTGTTTTTATTATCCAGAAAAGGAAAGGTATTTCAAAGAGCTGACAAATAATTTTGCATAGCCCTTAGTAGTCCTGTTGGCACAGGATACAGTATTGTTTTCTAAGTTTAAACAGTAATAAGAGATTGTGCGTACATATCCTGATATGTCAATTGTATTCCTGACAAAACCACAAGAGATTCAAGAAGTCAAAATACTTAGAACACATCCCCTTTTGCACCACAGGATTGGAAATGCCAAGTGGCTGCTGTCACTAGCTCATCCTGTGCATCCCTTTGGAATGCCTGTTGCTGCTTTCAGCGCCGGTTTAAAACTAACAATTATTCTTGACAGCACAACATGTATGAAAGCAAAGGTGTGAACTGGGACATGTACCATCACTGAGGATGCTGGAGACAGTGATAAAGCCTAGGTGGTTCATCAACCAGCTCTGCAGAAGCCAGGAAAGGGAACTCAAGGCAAACCAGGGAGCTGCAGTCACAATGAGACCACAAAGTGCCTGTTTGAAGACAGAATCTCAGCGCAAGCAGTGGGCACTGGCAGTGCCACAGGGTTACAGCATGTGCATGGCAGAGGCAGCGGCTCCAGGGGCCACACCACGCTCAGCTGAAGTAAATGGGGACTTCAGATTCCTTTTTTGATAGGACAAATTCGAAGCCTTAAAAGAAAAACTCTCTCGAAATTATATGACATCCTGGAAAGGAAGGACTGCTCCTGAACCCTCAAAGTCTGGAGTAACTTTAGTATCAAATGATGCCATAGAATAATTGGGTAAGGGTCTGCCACGCTGCAGATTCTCATCCCTCCCCTCTTCCTCAGCTCAGGCCAAATCTTTCCTCATGCACGGAGGTGAAGTTTTGCATCCCTTATTCCTTAGATGCCTGACCTAAATAAAGCATAGCTAACAGAAGAATTTAGGACTTGCAGCTGCTGTAGAAGGCAACAGGAACATATAAAGAACATGCATACACCACTGTACAGCAGTCTCCTCGTACAACAAATGTACTTCGTGGATTGAATAATCAGGAAATAGTTCCAGGCTCTGGTTTTCTGTTTGTAATATGATGGCAATGCTGTTCCTTGCATTTTAGGGGTGTTCAAGAAATACTTTATTTTGTGAAGTTTTGGTGCTTTTTTTATAATGTTCACCATGACAGTGTCAGAAGGAAAGGGAAGGCCTTCTGAGTGAGCTCAAGTGTTCTTAAGTGAGCTCAGAATAATGTGCAAAGAGAGGCTAAAATTAGTTCCTTCACATCCTTTCCCCATATGCCACTTCCCAGTTGCCTTCGTTCTTTGCTGTGCTTCAGTCTCCTCATCATCCTTTGATTTCCACCCCAGTCTTCACATACTCCGTGTCCCCCCAGCTCTCTGCCAGGGTTCCTTTTGTCTGTTCCAAAGTCTACTTTTCCAAGTTATCTCCTCCTCTTCCATGTCTCGTCTCCTCTGAATGCAGTCACTTCATGTAGCCTGGAAACAAACAGTTTGAAAAAACAACTAAAAATCCATACTTTCAAGTATCTGGATTTAGAGTTGCTCTGGCCCGAAGCAGTTAGAAAATGCAAGTTCTAGGGAAGTCCCACTCCAGGCCCTAGAGCATATCCCATGCTCATGAACTCACCAGAGAACGAAGCCTGCAATCTCTAGCTGGCTTCTGATGAGCACATGTGAACTGCAGCTGGCTTGGTTTTTATCCAAAGCCCTGTGAATTGGCCAAATTTTCAGAGAGACTAGAAAAAGTCTATTTCAGCAGTAAGGTTACTGTTTTGTCCAGTTCCAAGTCCCTCTTCCAATAAAAAAAAAAAAGCACCACAGCTTTTCAAAGATTGCTGGAGTATTGGGAGGGGGATGTGGGCTTTTGCTTGTCTTGAACCTGGCCATGATTACATTAAGGAAAAAAGGTGCTCTTAGACACATGAACTGTTTTGGCTGAAAACTTTGAAGAAAACCTAGCCTGCAAGACACACCTGGCAAGCAAAGCTCTGGCTTTTTGCTAATTGGGCAATTAGTTTTTTGCTAACTAGCTTTTTGCTAATTGGGCAAAGGTAAAAATTAATAAAAATAAATATGTATAAATGATAAATAAACCCAGGATTGAGACGGCAAGATGCATTAGGCAGTCCAAAAACTTATGTTGCACTACCAACTACGTATGTAGCTTGCATCTTTCCTTCCCTCAGCCTTGAACTCTGAGAAAATTTAGACTCAAGGATCAACGTGGGACTGGTTGTGGTTTGGATGAGTCTTTTTTTTTAACTGGGTGACTTCTGTGAATCTGTTTTATGGCTGCACATATCTCAGATTTGCTTTCTGTGTAATAAAGTTTGGCTACTTGAGCCAAACCCCAGTAATATGCCAAGACAGCTTGGCTATACAAATGAGGTTACAAAGGTTTAACTGAATTGGAGGGCTAAAGCAGAGAGTAGCTAAGACATGTACAGAATATCTTAAGTGTTTTGTTTCCTCGTGTAAGCAAAGACTGTGTTTTGTTCACTCAGTATCAGTTTCTAACAGCAGCTCCTGAGTATCATCCAACACCAATGTGCTTCTAAAGTGCTCAGAACTGGTCCTGCCACCCAAGTGAAGTCAGTATTGCTATAACCAAACTGGCTGGCTGATATTACTAACTTCTGCCTGGAAGAATTTTGACAGTTTGATTATAAAATGCATTAGAAAAGAAACATGAGATTTGATGCTGCAGGAAAGAATGCAGGCTTTAATTTAAAAGAGAAATGATTCTTTTCATGAAGCAGACACAGCAGCACACAGTTCCTCAGTCATACCGTATGTCAGTATTACGTGTTAGCAACAGCCACGTAGCTTGCATGTTCAGGCTCATTTCTGGGGGGTTTCAGTATCCCCTGTAGCCCCTCAGACAAGCTGGCCTGCCAGGGCAGCTGAAATTTGCATCTTCCTGCTGTGCAAGTCAGTTGTGAGAGGCAGGGCTGTAAGACCCCAGTGCTCTGCCAAGCCTCCTGTCCTTCTCTGTTCTGGATCCAGGAGTTCCTCTTACACCACCTGCCACCTAAGTCACTCTGTTGAGTTTGCACAGGAGCAGAGCCAAGGAGCAGCTCCACACAAACAGCAGAGATCTCGGTCAGGAGGCAACTATGAGCTGAGAGGCTTGTCCGGTGTTGGTTAAGATCTAATTTGTTCACAACAGCAGCAGCTCAGTCAGCATCTTGGATTAAACCCCAGAATTTGGGCCCAGCTGACACGGGTGGTGTGCATGCTGTCTTACAGGTTGCCTGACGCAAGCCTCCCCTTGCTCATATCCACTCCCAAGGCACTTGGCTACCACAGTCCTGTGGGGTTCCCTCCTTTGTGTACTTTGCCTTTGGGTCATCTCTGATGTCATCACTGAGCAGACTGCAGTGATGAGCATTGGGGTACCAGCTACTCTTCTCTGTGCAAATGAACTCAAACTCACCTGTCCTCTCAGCAAACCACAGTCACTAGCAGGTGACACCCTGTCCCTGCAAGCTCAGCCTCCTTTGGAGGCAGGAACCTGGGGGTGGATGTCCCATCTGATCCTGCTCTCCATCCCCAGGACCCCTGCAGTGATATGGGTTATCTGATTCTTTTGGAAACATTTCACACCAAATTCTTACCTGGGAGAAGCTCTTGCATTGAACTACATTGAAGAATAGGAAGAGATATTACAGTTTATAAGCCATTGGGTCGGGGTTGTAAGGGGTAGTTACTATCCAGCAGCAAGCACATGCTGGTGCCGAGCACACTCCAGGACTCTGACAGTGCATCTCCTGGCATCTGCCCTGGCGCTCTGGCCAGTGCATGCCTGGCATGCCCACAGGAAGCACACCAACATACAGGGGAATGAATATGTGTTTGGGTATAAGAATGGTAGCTTTTTCTTTCCATTATCTAATGTTTTTCCACATTGAACTGCAAATACAGAAGGAACATACTGGTTTTCATTGCAGAGAAAAAGTCAATCCTAGATCTTTCTGTGTGGTTTATAATGAAGCCTCAAACCTGAGCTGTCCTGCTTGCACAGCTTTTGTAATGTGGTAGCTACCCTGAGGAAGCCAATGCATATTAAGAAGGCACTTTCTGTAGGACAGATGTTCCCTAAGGAGTCCTGTGCCAGAGCACTGGGCAGCCTGGGGTGTGAGACGGACTCTCTCTGCCTGCCCTTTGCAGATAATCCTGCTTTGCCCAAACAAGTCCCATGAGCAGCGGCTGGCTCGGGGAGGGCAGGGCTGGGATACGGCTTGGGATATGTCTGGCTCGGGGAAGGAAGGGCAGCGGGCGCTCGCAGGCAGCTCCAGCCCAACGCTTTGCATCTACCACCATCTCGTGGAGAACCAGCAGATCCCAGCGCCGGGCTGTTCCCACCATCGACAGGAAGGGAAAGGGGCAGAGAGCTGATCCTCACGTTTTACAGTCAGTGCTGCCCCTGTCAACCCCGGCGCAAAGGAGATGCCGCGAACTCACTGAACGGGATTGACCAAGAGTGAGGGAAAGCATCAGCAGGTTCATTCCCCGGAGATCACATGTGATGTGCAATACGTGCCTTCCAAAGAGCCCTTGGCCCTGAGGGATGCTGCAAGAGGACATGATGCTTCTCCTGCAACACTGGCACAAATGCTCTATATTTGCAGGGAGGAAAAAAACATCCTGCCTGCTCCCTTTCACCGTGGGATGGTCAAATATATGAAATCAGCGACGGTAGCAAGACAGATTCTCAGTGAAAGGAATTATGGAAATCAGCTTAGAAGACTGAATTTCATGGGAGGGCAGAGAAGGAAGAGGCCTGCCAAAATGATGGGGAAGATTTATGATTTCCTACTGAAAATATGTGAAGTGGTTTTGAGATTTGGTTAAGCTGCTTTTAGAAACCAGTGACACAGTAAAAAGCCTTAATGCACCATGTTTTATGTAGGAAACTGACTTAATGCACCATGGACTAATTTCTACATTTCAGATTCTCCCCAGCCTGATAATGAATCAGAAGAGGCCTTGGGGTGTGTGTGATGTAGGGGTTAGCGAGCTACAGTCTAAGCCAGACAGAAGGGAGCTGAGGACTAAGGCAATGCAAACTCAGTGATGCTTACTGTGTCCTCAGAAAACAAAGTAAGTATCCAAACAAATGCTGGTTGTTTCACATGTGATTTACCCCTACAGAGCTTAGTCAGCTGGGCTTCAGGTTCAGTGTATTGACTAACCTGTGGCCTACAGAAATAAACTCCTTTTTTTTCCCCTCTATCTCCTACTTTGCTGCAAAACTAGGGAGAGGAAGAGAGATCCCTGTGCTTTGATTTCCATATCCTCCAGAAAAAAACAAAGACTCTCTCATTTTTTGAGGAATTCCTAGTGTGGACTGTTTTAAGCCTGTGGATCCTGTGCCAAGCCCTCTGCATTCCTTTGCTCAATTCTTGGCTGTCACAGCTACAAAAAGGGTGTCTGATTTAAATCTGTGCGTGGTCATCAGGAGGTCCTTAAGCTATAGCTGTGCAGGCAAAGCATTTGGCATCACACTTGTCTCAGATATCTTGAGACACCCACAATATACACAGCTACAGCTGACCTGAACTCCCTTATAGGGGACAGAGGAGCCCAGACCCTTTTACTTCTCTTTAATGTCAGTCAAGAAATAAATACATGTCCAGTGTTTCCTTCTTCTGAACAATTTTAGGCATTGATTCCAGGATGAGATGAAAGAGAGCCTAGCTTGATTAGTTATATTGACTGTATGTCTGCAGGCTGCAAGGAGAGCCCAGCCTGAGCAGCTCAGGCGCAGACGCCCATGCTGGAGGTCGACTCCACTGATCCAGGTGGATGCTGGCCCTTTTCCCTCTCCCTCCATCGAGGCACTGGACATACCTCAGCACCTGCAGCTCAGGGGGAAGGGCTGCAGGCAGTGTAGCCACCCCTGAGCAGAGGGGTCATCTCCTGCCATTCTCTGCCCCTCGCCTGGGACAGAGAGGTTGACATGGGGATGCCACCCTCCCGGGAGTTGTTAAAAATTGAGCTGCCAAAACACCTGCAATGAGTGTGTGGTTTGGCTTCTGTATCTTGATATACTCTCACAGGGTGTCCCACTCTCTTCCCTTTTGGGGATAGGCCTGGAGAGAGATATGCTCTCTTGTCAGGTCTGCTTTCTCTGCCTCTTTGGTTTTTTTGATATCCAGCTCTTATTGAGCTACCTGTGTTGTCCTGTGGAGACCAACAGAAGCTGAGTTATATTTAGCAATGTTGCCATACAAAAGATCAGTCTTGTTAGGCAATGTTGGATGTACTGCATCTAGTGAACTACATGGCTAAATGCCATAGTTTGATCCAGAAATTTCTATTGCTCAAGGAAACAGGAAGCGCAGAACGTGCAATTATGTGCCTACTTTTAGAAGAAAAAATCTAAACCATGGTTAGATCTATTTCTACCTTACTTCAGAAACTTCTAAAATGCGTTTCAGGGCAGTCAGTGTTGCACTTAGAGGATGACCAAG